ACTAACCCAAGGAACAAGAGCTTCATGTATAATGAACGAATCATTACGAGTTGTATTTCGACATGTTGGAGGTAAATCTTTGGCAAACTTATGACTTGCTAGTTCAAATGCTTCCTGACAACGAATCGAATGAAATGCCCGATAAGCAGGGAAATCCACAACCGGGTTGTTGAAATCTGCAGCGATCAGGAAAGGCATATTACTGGAAGCACAGTGTTGATACAGTTCGGCAAGTAGCAAGTAGCATGTCGCTCTTCTGTTTGACTTCAAAAGTGCGGCCTGCGTAGAAATACGCGGATACGAGCAGCACTTCAACATGCCCCAAAAGAATGACTCGTTGGCTAACCCTCAGGGTGTCCTTGAGCCACGTGGGGAGTTCATTCCGTGATGCACGATGTGGTGTACGATGTAGAGAGGCAGTACCTAGTGCTTCACCTCGTCTTGAAATTTGGTTGGCGAGGGTGTTCACAGAGGTCTTTTGTGGGGCCACAGGGGGGCTCCACGCAACCTGATAATTGGTGGTTCGTAGGAATTGTGTAAACTCAGTTTGGATCGTCGATGTGGCTGATGTCTCAACAAGTGAGATAACATCTGCATTAAGTGCCAAAATGTCGGAGTGTCGTTCTGTAAGGACTGTTGGGTTAAGAACAACACAGGTAAGACTTTGTGTCTGGTTGCCTGGTCCTGGATTCTTTGCTTCCCCAATACGGTGTCCAGAATATGGATCCCAGCCTTTAAGTAATGAGGAATTGGTGGGTTCAACAAAGGCATTAGGCATATACAACACAGCTGACAAAATGTGAACAGGCACCGTATTCTGGTGGTTCTCCCTTCCCCTTCTGAAACGCTTTTTGTTGTCAAACCTCAACTGGTATTGAGTTTCTGTGAGGCGTTCAGACCTCAATGCATACGAATTAATAGCATGGTTCGAAATGGCAGTATCATCGGCAGGGCGGGATATGTGCATAGCAAATGGACACGGAGTATCTTCAGTTGCCAACCCACCTCTAAGCCTCTGAACCCTGCAGCGAACATGCACGTGATGAAGCTTATGTATCTGGCTATCATCTCGCAAGACAAACAATGCAAGGAACAGCGAATGCGGTGCACATGGATGCGGAGTGCACGTTTCCCAAGGGCTCAGTGAGAGCCATTGGGTCAGTGTTAATCTTGCATGTCATCTTGATCGGCTGGGCGCTTTCGCGCTGCTGATCCCAACAGATTCTTCAGAGCTTCGAAATCCTCCTTGAAACCTTTCTGCAGTGCAGCTTGTGTCTGGTGGAGAGCTCCCTGGAGGGTCTCTTGGAAGCTATCCTTGACATCTTGAACCTTCGTATTAAGTTCTTTGCGGACTTCTTGAATCTCTTCATGAACCTGTTTCCGTAAGGTAGACGTGTCTTTGCTTTGGTTCTTGACTGCGGATTCCAAGGCCGAGATCTGTGATTTCATGGATTCAAGATCTTGGCTGTGGTCTTGTGAAGCCGAGCCCTGTTTGGGTGTGTATTGCTTATCAAACCATTTGCCTATCTGACTGTCTCTCGCTACCACCTTGCTTTTCCAGCTGCGGGATGTGCTGCTAGAAGCAGTGGAGGCCGCTTCTGCCCATGGATCATTTAATGTCAGAGGATCAAAATCCTTCCACATATCGGTTGTATTCGATGGCATACGCCACTGCGCTTCCTGCGACGGCTTCTTGCCAGCTAGGAAAACTGTGTTTCTGGATTGGTATTTACTGTCAACTGGCTGTACCATCACCGCATTGTTTTTCCATGTCAAGGATCGTTTCTCAAGACGTTCAGGCCCTACGAGAAGCCATGATGTCGCATTGAGAGCCCGCAGGGGGCGCAGCTTCAAATTCTCCAGCTCAACCCAACGTGAAACATCTTCGAATGTTGCACCTACTGGCACAGGTGTGAGCTTATGGAGGTGTTCTCCCGGGAGGTGCTTTGGTTTAGGTTCCCCTGGCTTCACTGCAGCCCATAATCGATCATAGTCTTTGGACCAGACTCGAATTCCGTATGTGGGTTTGGATTTCTGTGATCTGACGAGTCCCACCGCATAACCAAGCTCCTCAGCTTTGCTTTGCAAGTCTCGGTTTTCTTTACCCGGCAACCACACGATCGAAAAGCGTGCATCTGCTAAGTTGGTATATTCGGATTTAGGTATGGTGTAGATACCATTCTTCCCCGATCGTTGGAGCACATGTGCAAGATGAGGGGCAAGGACTCGGGCGTAGAAACAGAAAGAGTCTGCATCAGTTGGTTCAGTGGCCTGCTTATTGGATCTCCAGCTGCGCCCTTGAGGCGGTCCTGTGATTGTCTGGGCCGGAACGATGGCCAGTTGATCAAACACAGTACGGATAGGCGACTCTAACAGGCGATCCCATGTAGCTTCAGGGCACTCACACTTCCAAGTGACAAACATGACCTTTATGATTCTGTTACTGTTGCGTTATCCCCGCCTGATGTTTTCAACTTGACCTCATGAGTTCCTAGGGAGTGACAGCAAGCGTGTATGACTGCCTTAGACTGATCTGGCATCCGTACCGGTAGATTGAGCTGCTTACATTGATCTGTTCCTAACGGACAAGAATGACCTGGCACCACAAGCATGAGGTGTTTCGGCTTCTGGCCCCTTGGAGTGAACAAATGACAGCATCTCATCGGCATCAATGAACACAACCCCAGAATCAGTCGGTGTCGGCGGGTCAAGCATCTTTAGTTCTTCCCCTTCGGATGTCAAGAATGTGCCTGGTTCTATCGATAGAGTACTAGCTTGCACTGGTGCAGCTTTAGCATACTGATTGTTCCAAGCAGCCCGGACTCTCTTAGCTCTATCCTGTTCTAGGTCATGTCTTGTTGGCATTTGTATTCTAGTTTGACGTGCAAGGATGGCACATTGCTGGGCAAACAAATCGCTATCCTCAACATTCACTACCTGTCTCAGGCGGGCTGCCCCTGCCTCTTGATACAAATTATTGGTGAATTGCTTTGTCTCTGTTGGATCATATCCGGCCTGCAATGCTTTCGCGGCAAAGTCATCTTTGAGTCGTTGCGCTGTTTCTGCTTTAGACCCACCTCCTTCTAGGCTTTGCACGAGGTGGACATGTGTGGGCCGTGTTGCAATCTGCTCGACATCAATGTATGAGACCAACGGCCAGTCCGGGTTGACACGCACACCAGAGATAATGGTGCGGAGTGTATCATTTCGACCAAAATGACAACTGGCCTGCTCCCATGCCGAAGCGAATGCACTAGCTTTGCAGTCCTGCGGGACAAAGCCTGACCACAGGAAGCTTGACCATAGTTTCACCTTGATCCAAAGCCCAGTGGTGTTTAAGCCGAACTGGTTCTGAAGGCTCACCAGCATGAGGCGTGTCGCAAGCAGGCTAACCAGGTCTTGGATTGTTGTGGATACTGCAGTTGGAATTCGTCGAATACTCAGCATAGCTTGGTGAGGATCTGTGTTGTCAGCCGGTGGTTGGATGTCGAGTACGATCTTCCACCCCAAGGACTTGAGATCTTCTATGATTCCTAGCTGTGTGTATAGGTGAATGATCTTGAGCGCCTGGCTTACTCTGAGTGACATGTGAAGCTCATCCATTGTGGGTGTCCAGTGGTGCTGCAGGAACTCGACAATGGCAGGTGTCTCGCACTGTGTGTGAGTGTCTACAAACACCATGTCCGGGGTTTCAAGATCTTGCTCGAGTCTTTGTCCCAAGTGATTATGGGCATTCAACTCACCTTGGATGTGAGGTTCAATTTGTTGCAAAACCTGCTCAATGGTGCCAGCAGTGTGACGTGTGAGAATGAAAATCCCAAGTGGTGTTAGGACCACAACGGACGACTGTCCAGAGTTGTAGAACCGACTCTCGTCGAGCACCAATTGCCCTAACCACACGTCCTTCAACTGCATGCCCGAGGTTGGCATTTCATCAGTGATAAACAAGGGTAGCTCCACCTGTGCGTCTCCACCCCCCATTTGGATTGTAAAGCCTCTTCGTACTCGGGGGGTTGAAACAGAATCCAGATTCTGCATTATAGAAGGAACCAGGGTTTCGTTCGGTCTGCCTTTGAAGTCTCTGGAACCACTGGTAACCTATTAAGTGGTAACATGTGGTAACTATAGATTGAGTGGAAATATACCCGACGAACACATCACCTGGAACGCGGAGTGCACACCCTCCTGTTCGTGAAGGAAACATGATCTTCCTTTCGAGACCATGCGATCCACTTCCACCATGTGGTGCTTTCATCAGTCGCTGCAGTCCAGTTGTTCAAGTGTGTCCAACGATGTCCAGTGACTCGTTGAACACGCCCCTATCATGGAACATGTCATGCACCCAAAGGCTCAGGGACGCTGAAACTGCTACATGTTGGTTCGGTCCATTTCACCCTAGTTGTGTTGTGAGGGTCAAAGCCCCAAGCGAACGGGTTGGGTCCATTTTGTGCCTTTTGGCATGCAAATCAGAAACACGTGTTTTCTCCTTCCAGAGGTAACCTTATTAACCTGAACCTCAACCTCTATATAAGGGGCTATGAATAGACACCCCCAAACAGGGGGCACACCAGTGGAGGTCAAGCAACTTGTTGAGAATCGGATGTCTTCAGCCCTTTACCAGCAACCAGCGAGTTTTGTTCTAAACCGGACCCGGTCCGACCACATGTCACTGAGCGGCAAGTAAGCGGTGATGGTTACCAGGATCCTTGGCACTCCATTGGTTTAATAGCCTTTACAGAGAAGCCATCGTTTTACGAAGGAACCATGTTTGTAAATGGTCTTTGAAGTGTAGGGATGCAATCAGGCATGTTTGTTGACTGCTTCATCGCTTCCTGAGAACTGCTTCTCACTGGGTTTGACTGTTGGGCAAATCCATATTTGTGCCATTCACCCGACAACCGCTGCTGGTGGGTTATACTGCCGCCTCCCACCAACGCCATTGTTCCCCAAGAGCACGGCACCCCCGAGCCCCTGACGAGGCACACGGAATGCCAAGGGGCACTGGGCATACCACATCCGCCACTCCTTGACTAAGGCTTGGAGCTCGCGGTTCTCTGCTTCCAGCCCCACCTCCAAAGTCGAGAATGAAACGAGAAGCATATGGAGAGCCAGAGCGCTCTTATGGAGTGGCATTTTCCCAGGTTCCCGAGCTGCACAGCTGTATATGGTTCTTGGGAGAACTTGGTATGATGTTGGGTCGTCCACATGGTGGCCAGTGGGGGTTTTGGAAAGAATCTTCCCAAAGTGCGAGGAATTTTTACGACTCTACTTCTTCATTCCTTCATCTGCCAAGTCATGGCCGGCCCCACCTTCTTACCAAATCACTTTCACCTGCCCCATGCGACATGTCCCACCATCTGGCAGGAACCGTGCTTTCCCTGACTCCTCCCACCACCGACCGCCTCCGACCGCGCTGCCGCACGCTCCGCGCCTTCTGCTGCCGGAGCACCGCGCACTCCTGGCGCAGGTCGTCCAGCGTCTCTGCCGAGTCGCCGGGCATGGGACCCTCCTGAAACGGAGCCGAGCCGAGGGCCCACGGCGCGCTCACTGGTGGAGTGCCGAACAGCGGCCTGAAAGGAAGGGGGTCCAATACAGGTGTTGCTTTGCAGGAGTGTTCCTGACGTGTTCGCAGAAACGGAAAACAGGCAGCTTTGATTTAAGAAGTCATTCCTCTACCTGATTAAAAAAAAAAAAAGAAAAAGTTAACACAAAATCGTCAAACCACAATAAGTAGGCCGGGTAGTTTGGGTGGTTCAGAAACCCCAGTGGATGAAAACAGCTCACCGACTCCTTTCACGAGTTTTTTGCCTAGACCTATACCATCATGGTTTATACAGATCGAGCAGTCTTCTGTGAGATGTGACCCCAATCCAATGATTGTAGTGAACTTCGTTTCAACCGATGTTCATCGATGTTCTACTCATGCTCTGGGATTCCCAGCCGCAGACATGTCCAGCTCTGCATCCACTTTGCTCAGGTCTTTGCCTCGGTCTGCGCACGGAAAAAGGAAGAAGAACGAGTGTTACTCGCGTGAGAAAAGGACTTTCTGCAGGGAAAACCATGGGGCGCTTTCAGGCCTCTACCAGCCACCTTCGAGTTCGAACGAACTGGGGCTCTAGTCCTGTTCTGCGAGTCCTGTGACGAGTCAGTTCCAAGTATGGGGCGAAATCTTAACACACACAAATCCATTTCACACACCCGGATTGGATTGGGGGCTCGAGTCTAGAGCCTAGCGCCATGTTCATGGCTTGACGAACACAGGTGAATGATCCTTCTTCGTGTCGCAAAAGGAATGTTCTTTCTTGCATCCGACTGTGCCAACTGGGACGGCCAGTAATTGCAAAAACACAAAGAGAATGGTCTAAAAAAGGACACCTGCTGACTTTGGTGTGTGTGGGCCTATCGTTACAGTTCTGGACCTATGGTCATATGAGGCATGTTTGGTCACTTCTGTTTCAGTCCAAAACATATGGCGAGGTAAAGCGCTTCTGCTATGGGGGGCTTCAGTCCTATCAGCAACAGTCTATGCCCTAGGCCCTAGAAGTCCAGTTCAACCTGACTTTGTCCTTGTAGGCATAAAGTAGTTAAAGAACATTCCTTTTCAGGTCCAGGGGTTTGTTGTATCACGAAAATACAATTAAAGGCTTCAGGTTTCCTGCCCCCACGCTTTGCACCACCGAACACCGAACCACGCCGAACACATCGCCTGCATCACCGGACTCCGCCATTGGACCACCGTTGTGCGGCCCCCCGCGCCCCAAATCTGAGCCCGCTTCGCGTCCCACACATCGATGGCGATCGCAAGGCGGCGCCCGTTTCAAAAACGAAGAAGTCGCGGCATGTGTTTGTTCAAAACACCTGGATGACGCTTATGAAGTTGGGAAGATTCCAAAGCAGAACAACAGGGGCTGAACGAAGTCTTAATTTTCAGAACTCCAAACGACGTCTTCGACCGGCGGAACCAACACCGTCTTTCTTCGCCCTCCGAATCCCACTCACCTGCGGACACGTATCACCTGCCCATGCTTCCGAAACAAACGCTGATGAGCTCATCACAATGAACATGGGGCATCAATGCACCATATGGTGTGATGAAACGAGCCCATATGGATCCATATGGTCTTTTCTGATGGGATGGTGTTGAATTTCTGTGTCTCCTTTTGAGAGTTGTCTTTGGGTGTTCCTCTCGCTGCGCCTTCAAAACCAACTGCACCTTCCACACTAAGCCCACCAGTGGTCCACACCAGTGGCAAGGGTGAAAGTCTCGAACCAGGGGGGTTGACTTGATCCAAAGAAGAGACAAAAACATATATAATATCATCATCATATTGGCGTATATTACCAGCTATCGGGGTTGAAGAACTCCCTAAAGCTGTGGCTCTGCTCCCTCCTGAGCACCAGCTAGATTAAAAGTAGAGACCTGCCCAAGACCCTCTGGAAGAAGCAACATAGACCAACATTCATTGGTACTCTTCTTCATCACAGCCTGATATTCATCCAAAAAACCTCCAAAACGCCAAAAAGGCCGAAGCATCCCAAAATCAAGACGATGTTAAGTCCCATTGGTTCTTCAGAACATCTTGCATCGGTTACATCTGTGGATCTCACAAGAGGAGCACTGGGAGGGCACGTGCTTCGTTCGTGCAAGGCTCGTCGCGAACAAAGCCTTTTTTCCTCCGGACACCGTGAAACACGGCGAGTCACCAGAGGGAATTCTTCGGCGAGCAGGATGCATTTTCGGGGTTTCTCTGTAGAGTGATGTTAACCTTGATTCAATCTGTATAGATAGTAGTTTCTCTTCAAGCAACCTCAAAGAAGAATAGGAAAGGACATAGAGAGGGGCCGTTATAGTGAATATTATACTTTTGAGAGGTCAAAAACACGTGAGCGTCCTCAAAATGGCCTATCCACCACATGATGACATGGTTGGTTCAGAGGAGTCCTGTGAACGATCGAGAGCCATCCGCCATGCCCCCATGTTTGTTGCATGGAAACAGTTGTCCAAAGGCGATGAAGAGTTCCTGCCTCGACCTGGTTTGCGCTTAAAAAAACTGGCAAGGACCCTCCTGTGCGGGTATCTAATACTTCATTTCGGACCATTTGATGAATTCTGTGGCGCTTCTCGGATGTTCTCCTGCAAAACCCGCTCGTGTCCGATACACGGACTTTCGTCAGCGTCGCCTCGACAGACGCAGAGCCTGTCCGGAGAGTCGACCCCTCCGCCCTCCTCCGTCCACACGGTGATGTTCCACACTCTCACCCCCACTTCGGATGGAAAATTGATCTTATAACATATCATCACCACCGAACTCTTCACCTCTTGGATTGGAGCTTTGGGTGAGCCACAAGAACAGTGACTCAGTGACTCCCCAAAAAGAGGTGAGTCACTGACGCCAATCCTGTATGGGATGATTCTTGGAACGTCCCCAAAACAGCTGAAAGCAGGCTGACCAGGACGCTCCGGCGGCCGAAACACTCTCAGTCAGTGGCCTCGGCGCTGAAAGCGAACACGGGAGAAGGAGCGAAGACACCCGTTGCCACCCGTTGCCATGGGAAAGAAAAAACGAGCACGGCAGTCCGCTGCCACTTCCATCTGCCTTCAGATGTGTTCAGATGTTTTTGCAGGTGTTTTTGTTGCGAAACACAGACCAGTTCCATGGAGTTGGGTGGTTTTGGGGTCCCATGGATGAACGGGGGATGTGCGGAGCCCTGCAGGGGCGAAGAAAAGAACACCCTATCCTCCAAAGACTCCAGGCGCTCGGCACCCCCCAAGCACTGGAACTCGCCGAACCTTTTGGCGATCGCGGCGCGTCGCGTCTGAAGGCGCGTCGCTCGCCGATCACTCCTTCGGCGGGCGGCCAAAGCGATCTGCGCCCAGAGCTGCCGTGGCTTTGACGTCAAGTCAACAAACTTTGAACATGTCTCTGCTTCCTCAGCTTCTGCTCCCTCTATGATCCAGTTTTGACTGCTCCCTCATGAGTGGTTTTGATGGTGCCTACCACAAGACAATGATGAAGAATGCAGCGCACAGGAAGTTTCACGGAAGTTGATCTGCTTCTTCAAGCTCATGGCCAAATCACCTTATCCAAGCTGCTCAGAATGGCTTCTGAGTCTCTCAGAATCTTTCCTGTCAGAAGGGCATCTCAAAGTTTGATAGAACTGGAGCCTGCCAAAAGCAGGTGAGGTTCAAGAATTGCGGGTCGTGCAGGCAGAGCAAGCCGTCATGAATTTGGTCTACACGCCTACGAAGAGGAAGCAGCATGCCTGGAATGGATCTGCAAAAGCTCAACCGAAAATCCGTCACTCGATTGGATACAACGGGATTGAACCCGAGCCAGAATCCACCTCTTAAATCCTCGAGACCTCGAGATCTCGAGATCTGTGGCATTCATCTGTGACAGAAGTGGCAAGCAGTGCAGATGTGCTTTACACGTTTGCTTAAAGCACCCACCACCCACCATAGCATGGCCACGCAACGTGTGATTGCCATGCTATCTTCAGAAGCTGCAAAATAGCCATCTAACTGCTTTGCCTTTGAGAAGAGTTCGGTTGACGCTCGATGAAGAAGCAAGCCGCCACCGCCAATGTGTCCGGACGACCTCTGGCGGCAAGAGCGGGCCTCACCCAAGGGAGGCAAAAGTGCTGTCAGTTTGAAAGCCTTACCCACAAGTTCCAAAGGGGTGCCGCACTTGGAAGGCAAGAGTGTCCATGGACTAAAAAGCCTTCCTTTGGAACGGCCCAAACACTTTCTCTGGCATGTTGAGAAAGTTTCGGGATGCCCAAGATTGTCGAAGCCAGAACTGATGCACCCAGGTCGCACCGCACCCTCGAGGCATCGATTCACGAGCCATTCGCGAGCGAAAAACGGAGGTCCAGGGCCCCAGGGCCCCAGGTCCCCACATGGGTCGCTCAAGTGAGGCTCGGCTCAAACGCGCCAATGTCTTGGGTCGCTGAATCAAGGATACCCAGCTCAACGCTTTGCTCCACGCCATGTCTACGTCTCAGGGTCTCTTCACGGGTTCGCCCTGAGACGTCTCTCAGCCAGCCCGCCCCTGGCGTCCCCGGCTTCGCCGCGACGCCCGCGGCCGACGTGTCCTCCTGCCCGCAAAATAGGGGTTCGCAAGTGATTCACTGACTGGGTAAGCCATTCACAGGCGAAAATGCTGCTTGGAAAAGTTGGGCAACCGCTGCTGCTCGCTGCACAGTCGGACCTGCTGGCAGACTCCGTGGCAAGAACTGGCATCCAAATGCATGGC